TATATATATATATATATATATATATATATATATATATATATATATACTATATATATATATATTATACTGTGCGTGTACACCTGTACTCTCGTGCAATACCGCAATACTATGTCGTAGGGTTTCGCGGCTTTATACAGTTTCATCCTTATTTCCACCATGCTAGACTTAGTACCTGTCTCATATATCACCGCTACAATTGTATCGTACAAGAAAGTATATCAATGAGATATACGACGGTTCACTAGTGTGAACAAACGTACCAGTATATGGCTATTCGAATATTGAGTGTTCGAAGGAAATATGTTGCACCGTGGTTTTTTTCTTGTAGTATGGTATGCACAGCTTCATGCCGAGTGCGTGTGCAGTTGGTTCTAATTACGCTTTGTTTATACCATCTTCTCTCCAGATATTTCTTTCAGTTGTCCGAGGGGTGTGGCTACGAGTACTGCCAGAACGGCTATTGTGCTTCAAATAAAGGTGAATGCCTAAACACCAATATGGCGAAATCGCAAGAGATGCCACTCTAGATATCTATCTGATGAAATACCTTTCGATGTAAAGCTATCGGATGGTTTGTTTCGTGCGTGATTATTTTGCGGAGTGAGTTAAAATAGAGACTTTTTTGGTCCTGGATGTCCAAAGCACGTATTCTATGTACTATTGGTACTAGTAGGTGTGTTGAATTACTGTTCCCAATTCATCGCAGTCGGAGTAACACAGAAAGATGCTGAAGGCAACGAGTGAAATTGTCTGCTATCTGGACAATAGTTGCGAATCAGTTAATAGTGCACCGAAAAATATAATTTACGACAACGCCTCTAGTTTTATACCTGCCGCGCAGTGCTTGTATCTGACTTATTTATTACCGGCGTTTCAAATTGCATTTGTAACCGTTCAAATTGTGCACGGGGTGTTTAAGAATCGAATGATTGTGTGGTGTTGTATATTCGCTTCAGCATCGCGTTTCTAATTTTCCTGGCATCGCGTTTCTTGTCTGCATACCTGCACACCTGTATCAATTGTGGTGGCTAACTATTATATACCAACTTGCATATATATCTGTGTGCATGCCCATAAACGTATCGTCGTTGTAGTACTGTTTGCGATAAGCAACACTGTGAGCATCATTGCTAAATATACTGAATATGTTTGAACCACCGCAGACGTGGCCCCGTTGCTTGGCAACGCAGCGGCGGCGCTAGCCATCAAACTGGCCAAATCGCGCATAGACGAATACCAATGCCCAGCAACACTGCACCTGAATAAACTGCAACGTGGTCTCACCCCCATAACCACACCGGCCCCACCTTCTACACCTACACAGCCACCAGGCACTGGGCCTGAGGTATGTGTTTGGCGTATGTATTGATGTAAAAGTGCGAATACTTATTTACTCTAATTTTATTGCCCAGCAACACGGCACTTGAACAAGCTGTGACAAGGTATTTCCAGTACTGTACATCAGCCTCTCATCTCCCGCCCCCCTCACCGACCGGCACTCACACTTGCATAAACACAACGCAATGCTTCTGAGGGTATGCGCGTTGTATTAACGCATGTAAGTTTGCGTAATGTATATTTATATGTTTTGGATTTTAGCCCGGTGAAACTACTCCTGCACTCACTATTCCGACATTTCATCCCTACAACTACACCAGCCTTGTTCCCAAACCTCACAACTTCAGGCTCTTCTTCTGCATTATATGCGTAGTATTTATACTTGTGCCATTTCACGTTTCATATATTTACATGTGCGGGGTTGCTTTTGCACGCGTCGTTAGTGATTTTCTGGTATCCAGCATCCCTATCAGCGACGCACACGTACCTTACGATTGAGGCAGTTGCTCATATTCATTGGGAGTGTATTGTATGAATGACTATGAGCCTACTGTCAGTATTAGAATGGTTTGCTTTAATGAAAGTTTGCCTGACAGTGACAGTATATGCGCTATTAAAGTCCCTTATGTGTTCTGGTTTTCCTTTTGTTGAATACAATCCGAAATAAATGATACATGCACACAGACGCGATGTCCGGAGAAACCAATCAGCGACCTTATACGAGAAGTGTTCAGCAATGCCGATTCTCTCAATCGAAGTTTTTTGCAGGTATGTCGGACATTCAAGGAGAGTGCTTCGCTTGTGTGTGGGCTAGGCTGAGTTGATTTGACCTCTGATACAGCACACGGTGCTTCACGTGAAATCTAGCAATGATAATATCGGAGACGACATGTACATATGTCGATTACGCGAGTTGGCTCGTAGGGAGTTGAATATGTGTGCAAGGCAATATGTTTTTCTAGTGCTTATTTCGTACGCAGATTCTCAGCACATGCAATTGGCATCCGGCAGCGACTCTGTGCCCATATCCGAGGTTCTTGCGGGCACGTATTAAGTTCAAGACATGCGTACGTTTGCTTAACAGGGTTTGTTAATGGGCTATTTTGTTAAACTTCGATTTATATGATCAACACACCAGACGCCACACATAGACGAGTCGAGCCCGCGGATCATATCGCGCTCGAGCTCACCCACATTTGAAGACACCGCCGCGAATGCCTCAAACGCCACCATGATGTCTGATGATGTGAACGGTGCCCGTGCACAAACAGGGACAAGTGGGGGGCTAATTTTATCTGAAGACGGGTCCAATAGAGGGTCTGGTGCCGGGAACGCAGGAGGTGTTGATGCGCACAGTAGTGCCATTGGGTATACAGACACAGTCGCGAGCGCGAATGCGAATGCGAATGGGGTGAGTTTCAGTAGCAGTAATGACGGGCACAGGTTGAACAGTAGTAAGTCGAGGGGAGGTGGAGCATCGAAGCGGGGTCAAAGAGATGCGAAGAAAAACGCAGGAAACAAAGGCGCGGATAAGGAGAGCCCACGGCGTACATGGGACCACAACAAATTCCTGAATCTAAAAATAGATCTGGGCAAATACACGCAGGACCAGCAGCACATCAGGCCGCACGATATCAGGTAGATAGGGCGGGCTGTCAATGGTCGTGCGAGTGATGTTGTACTCGAAGTACTGTAATTTAGACTATGCGGTGGAGTTGTATGCCTGTCTTAGCATGGAGTTTATTCTTGACGATTGATTCGTTTTTTGCCACGGCTGATTATGTTCGACACTTGGTGCTGAAATATTGACATCCTGACTTGACACTTATTGACACTTCGCATTCGACATCTGTCACGTGGCTTTAGACACATTGCATTGAACACTTGAACCCTGACCACCGATGAATGCACTGAAACATTGAAATGGTCCTTTCACGTGCTACAACTAATTCTCAGCTAATGCACACACATCCTCTCTATATATTCCCGTATTTATTCCCGTCTCGATCGATTTCAATCGCAGAGTAAATTTTGCCGAAGTTCGGGATGTTTTTACCACCATCTTCGCGTTCGACGCGCTGCGCCATATGATCCTCGTCTCTATGAATATGTGGGCGGCGAAAGTCAAAAGTACACAGCGGCTGCAGCCCAAGAAGACCTTTGCCGCATTCCCTACCGCCGTACAGGTACTGTAACCCCAACTGCAGTGTATTGGAGACAGCTTGGATTATTGTTGCGTGCATTATTTATGGTTAAGCAGCGTGCCGAAAATCTGCTGTAGGCATGCAACACCAATCGAACATGATCTTAGGAATGTATTATAGGAAAGCATTGTCGGCAATTTACAATATATGGTATGCATTGGACCGGGAGTCTATATGTTTCATAGAAGGGATTGGTTGCAGCGCGTAAAATCAAGCGCGGATCATGCCTACTATTGTGTCCTAGAGGATGAATTCAGCGTGGTATGTTCTCTCCAGGCATGCGTTCTAACACAACGAGTGATCCTTTTCCTTTTAAACCATTTGTTCTTCACAGGGTGACGGGCAAAGACAAATATTCAGACATGAGGACGCGGGCTTACCCCCTACCCTTAGACCCCTTCCCCCGGTCAGAGTACTTGAAAGCCAACTACCAATGCAGTCATCTATATCAACGGAAATGGGTTCGATTACGGGTACGGCGGTAGCCCTTGAAAGTGCACCCACCGTCGCACACACGAATCACTACGATATACCTGATAGCGGGCATGAAAAATCAGGCATAAGTGTTGGCATGAATCCTCACGCGAGAAAAAGTATTCCAAACGGCGCGAATCACGCCACTTCTTCGATGCTGCCCGGAGCTAATCTAGGCCAGTACGTGATCATCTTCGAGAACCCCGCGTTGATGGAGCATGAGTATCAGGAAATGGTCATGCCCCAGGTATGCTATAGGCTCACATCCTTACTATATAGAGTTCTTTCTTAACCCAGCTTATCTCAATAGTCTTTTTTCGAGCTGCTCGGTACTAAACCTAGAGTTGTATCTACCACGTGTACGTTTGGATTATCATCAAGCTGCCGTCGTCTTAGATGAAGCAGTTAGAATGAATGATACTCTGCTTGCTCACTCTTGCTCTATATTTCCCCGCATGCTTCAGTTGATGTATTCACTCGCAATGCTATCCGAAGCGGACCAAGACAGGCTCGCTTTGTACTGGAGCAGGAATGGACACGCTACCATGCTACAGCGAGTGCAGAAGGTTCAGCAGTACATCACCATGCGCATCCTGACCAAAACCAGCACGAATGACTCATACTCGCCCAATAAGGATATATATGTGGCGTGGGCGGTGAAGGCATTGGCTATCCTATTCAGGGCGAATATGTTGAGCACCTTGGTGCACGGGCTCGGAGACACGGTATGTTGCGAGCCTGCACTTGTATCATCGGTTGGAGATGTATTGGGAAGTTGTACTGCTGTTTGTAAACTACCAAGTTTGTGCTGTGAGACAGATGCGGTGTTTTATAAACAGTCAGTCACTGGGTATTTCTCCATTGTTCAGGCAAAATGTAGCCACACACCTTATCAATTCTGATAGATCAGCATATGGTTTGCAGTGGATGTCCACACGTGGCGTGCATAGTATACCCTAGTTGTATCAAGGATGCGTATAGTCACATATTTGATCACCGCAGAATCAATAATTTATGCGTTAATATCGCACTCGGCCTCAACTATATATCACCTACCAAACTACAACCAGGCCAAGCCAGTAGTAGATCTCACAGAGTTCTACAACGATGCCATCAATGACCACATCAACTTGAGGACCGACTTCCCTATATGGAAGGCGGGTGATGGAGGGTTCTCCTTCTGCCATTTTCCGTTTGTGCTGACTTCTGGTACCAAGAGTGAGATCCTCAAGGTCGAGTGTATAGTGCAGATGCGCCATGAGATGCAGGATGCCTACTTCAGGAGTATCTTCCACGGGCCCAATGACCCGTATCTGTTCTTGACTATCCGACGGTCACATCTTATCAGGGACGCGCTCTTACAGGTTTGTGTGTGTGGTGTGTCTTTGTTTTGTTGGCACTTTCATTCGCTGTGGTTGTTTGGCGTCGAGCTTGGATATTCCATACACAACAGCTGTGTGTTCTGCAAGTAAATGTATATTGGAGGGTAGTATTGGGGCATTCTGTACGGGTGTAGATAATTGTGTGGATTTTCGCGTTCATTCAATGGATTCTTCATCCAGCCCGATTCCCTTCCTTCGTTGGATATCACTACGGAGTATTGGTTACTGAACTGAGCAGCGATCGCTCATCGGTGTATATATAGGTCATTGTTGACTGCTACTGCATTTTGATAGTCATTGTTGACTGCTACTGCATTTTGATAGTCATTGTTGACTGCTACTGCATTTTGATAGTCATTGTTGACTGATACTGCATTTTGATAGTCATTGTTAAGTGATACTGCATTTTGATAGTCATTGTTGACTGCTACTGTATTTTGATAGTCATTGTTGACTGCTACTGTATTTGATAGTCATTGTTAAGTGATACTGCATTTTGATAGTCATTGTTGACTGCTACTGCATTTTGATAGTCATTGTTGAGTGATACTGCATATTGATAATCATTGTTGCCTGCTACTGAGTTTTGATAGTCATTGTTGACTGATACTGCATTTTTATAGTGTCATTGTTGAGTGATACTGTATTTTGAAAGTCATTGTTGAGTGATACTGAATTTTGATAGTCATTGTTGACTGCTACTGCATTTTGATAGTCATTGTTGAGTGATACTGCATTTTGATAGTCATTGTTGAGTGGTACTGCATGTTGATAGTCATTCTTGACTGATACTGCATTTTGATAGTCATTGTTGACTGCTACTGCATGTTGATAGTCATTGTTGAGTGATACTGAATTTTGATAGTTATTGTTGACTGATACTGCATATTG